AAAAAAAAAAAAAAGAAAAACAGAGAACGTGGAAGAGAAAATGTATCCATGCCGTGGAACGAAATACGAATGCCGAAAAGGGGGATGCGCGCGGCGAGGGATGCACGGCCGATGTCTACCACAAAAGCCATTGTCCGCCACTTACTGAATTCGTCGAGCCTCCCTCGCTTTTCCACCCCCCCTCTCCCCCACGCCATATCCAGCGTACACACACACACACACCCTGAAAGAGAAGGAGGAAGAAAGAACGAGCTATGCGCGCCATCCGATGTAAAACACTTCCCGTGAATTTTATTGCTCTAGGTATGCCTTCTCGTATACCTCCACGTGCAGAGCACAGCAGCTAACCTGGCCCAGGAACCACGGCCATCCCCCGCATTTGCTTATACGCTCGGGCGTGAATCTGACCGCGGTAACATTCAGACGTACACGCACACACGTAGAAACGTGTGCGTGCGAATGGGTAGGTAGAGGTACGCGTACGTCGTAGTTATGGCTTGTGTACACATAGAACGCGCGACTGCACGTGTATTTACCAGCAAGTAGGCGGGTCCGCAGTTACAAATGTCACCGTAAAATTACTTTTTAATTATCGTCGAGAGGATTTCGCTTATTACGCGATATTCCGCTCCGTTCCTGAGACGGAGTCGACGGTGGTGGAGGAGGGAATCCGCCCGAAATTTTCTATTTTGTTCGCGCCGCTGACCCTCGACTCGTCGCAACGCACAACGGTACTTTTAATTTAGATAAGATTGCCCCCTTTATACGTCGCGAGGCATATAGAAAGCCTCACGTAGGCCGTTGGCATCGCACCTTGCTCCCGAATCGAAGTAATTCTTACCTTGGCGCGATTGCGATCGTCTGCGTTTCAAATTTTTAATCGCGCTGGATAGCATGAAAAAAGATAGTGTAAAGAATCGCAGATGATAACACAAGTCACGTTGTACATGATTTCGAACCGCGTTTTATATTAAATTTTAATTTTAATTAATTATGTGTCATTCAATGTTCCTCTATATTTTTTCTCTACATTTAGTATGTTTATAACTATCTTTTAACAAACTCTCGAATATAAAGAAAATTATTTTACAAAACATGAGATAAAGAAATGTGTGTGTGAATAATCATATATATCGAAATCTTATTTAAAAATCTGTAAGTTTTTCTATACAAATTTTTCACTTATTATTTGTCGATAATAATATTAATCCTCGCGTACGCGGTATCTTAAATACGTTTCAGCAATTTAAATAAACTCCGTGTAATTTAACGCGATTCACAAAACCCTCGTTTTGTTCCCGGTGAATACCTCGAAGAAGACACGACGCCGAATGAAAAGTTCGGCCAAGAAGTGGCCCTCTTTCGTCCGCCAAATATTATCTCGGCGACAGCGCGGACGATTCGTTTGCCCGGCGGTAAATCCGCGAATTAAAGAACTTATTCCATTTGGGCAGCCAAAGGGGTGTGAAAGCTTTCGCGTTCGTATTATCTCTCGGCCCGGTCGTCGGAGACGGGGAAACGGGAGGGGGAGGGAAAGGGGTGCGCAAAAAGGGAAAG